TCATACTGGTGTATAAGATTACTGCCTCACAGTTACACAGATTAAAATTGTTTTATTTTCAATTACCTGAAGGTAATTGAAAATAAAACAATTTTAATCTGTGTAACTGTGAGGCAGTAATCTTATACACCAGTATGATAAGTCCTATTAATACACTGATATAGTGATTGAAAGAGTAAGAGCAAAAAGAGTTAAGTAAAAAATTGGATTTAATTCCTTCTGCCAGTAGCTGGTTGAATGAATGTCCTAATCTAAAACGCATTATTTATCTAAAAGGTGTAATACATATTTACCTATACAAAAAATATAAAATATTTATCATTAGGGTAGCATAATATGTTGCTTCAACAATATATTTTATTTTATGAAATTTGTAGTTTTTTAATATTAATTAACAAATAAAGAAAAACCGCTCTAATTCAAATTTTGGAAGTTAATACATTCTGTCTTATTACTGCACAGTTAATCAAATGAAATTACCTTTAGAGGGATTCTCTTATTGATGCATAAAAATCCTCCAATCGAGAGACACAACGAAACTTTTCCAAATCTTTTCATAAAATCTAATATCTAAACATAAATCAATATTTAATAAGAAATATATTAAAATAAAACTAATTTACAATACAAATAAATATAAAAAAATTAATACTTTCAGCTTTTCTTGCATTTCCAAATCGCAGGTTGCAAACACACGAATGTCTTGAAACCCATTTTGCATCTAAATAATTAAAGTTATGTTAATAAATTAAAATAAAATATTAAATAATCATCAAATATAATGTACAGATACCGTAAAAGCGATGCAGCAAAGTAAACAGCCAGAAATAATGCAGACGAATGAGGCACTAATCATCAATATGAAAACCAAAACTTTAAAAATCTCAGGCATATCGAGATATAAGAAGGCGTAATACGAAAAGCTCGTTGTCCAAATTATATCGAAATAAACAATTACACCAGCCAATTCGCATCTTGTGTTCAACTGATTCAAATAAATCCACAATTCTTGGTGATGAATCATGAAATTTCGTAATTTAACTTGCAAATTTCTTTCGCTTCTTATCGAAAACAGTTCGCGTAAAAGTTGTTCAAACTCTTTATGAGAGATTAGAGTCATCAAAGCACACAGCAGTAGACCATATATCATTCCTCCTATAAGTAAACTTATTCCATATCCACAGCCTACAGTGCAAAATAAAGCTTCAAATTGAAAGTGTTGATACTTTTCCAAAACAGGATAATAAACAATCAAAGTGGAAATTTTAATCATAATTATTAATGATATAACAGTAAATGAAAAAATAAGCGAGACGTTTCTCATTAGCGCATTATTCTCGAGAATCATTTTCTCATAAAAGTATCTATTTTTTAGTCTGTTTATCAGATTCAATTTGTTATGGCTGATAAATATCAAATTAATTGAATAGGTCAGAAATACGACTACAGCGCATACTTTTATTACTGTAGAATCACTTTTGAATACGTCATACCATCCACGACACAATGCATATTCACCTAAAAACGGTAATGTTTGCCATAATAAAATAACCGTGAAGAGCCACAATATAAGTTGCACATATCGAATGTAAATGTTCTTTAATTTCAAATATTTAAGTCCGTTAATTTCCTGTTTACATGAACAATCTTGGAATATATCCACACCGTAAATGAGGGCCATTTTCGAACAAGGTCTCAGAAAGCAGTTCATGCAAATTCCTTCTTCGATATTCGAATACATGGTGCTAGAAAGTATGAATCTATGAAGCCTAAGATAATTTAATGTTCACTTCAAAATTGCAGGTTATATAATGACACTACTTATAATTGTCCTTAATTCTACCTGCTAATAAAGCAATTTAGTATGAAGCCAAACGAATTTCCTTTATAACGTTTAAGCTAATGGTCAACACGTGTGTAAACACAATACTAGGTAATGGGGTTACTTTAATGAATAAAATATGTCTACTTGTTTACCTTATGAAAGAATTTGTATATAATAATTCAAACTTATTAATACATTACTATATTGAAATATGATTGATGGTTACAGGAATCATTTTATAAAATATTTTGATAGCTTTTCAGTTAAGAAGTTATTCCTGGTAGTTGCGAAACAAACTAAAAACAGCTGCATCGTCTATATACAGTGGTGCCTCGTATAACGTACTGTACTTAATGCGTTCCAGGTGCACGTCTGTTAAGTGAAAANCTGCTAATAAAGCAATTTAGTAAGAAGCCAAATGAATTTCCTTTATAACGTTTAAGTAATGGTCAACACGTGTGTAAACACAATACTAGGTAATGAGTTTACCTTAGTGAATAAAATATTTCTACTTGTTTACCTTATGAAAGAATTTGTATATAATAATTCAAACTTATTAATACATTACTATATTAAAATATGATTAATGGTGATAGGAATCATTTTATAAAATATTTTGATAGCTTTTCAGTTAAGAAGTTATTCCTGGTAGTTGCGAAACAAACTAAAAACAGCTGCATCGTCTATATACAGTGGTGCCTCGTATAACGTACTGTACTTAATGCGTTCCAGGTGCACGTCTGTTAAGTGAAAAATCCGTTATACGAAACGCATTTTCTCATAGAAATACATGTTAAAACATATAATTCGTTCCGCAGCATAAAATAACCATACTGTACCATAACAAAAAAAAAATGAAAATGGAGCAGTCACTAATTATGCCGGGTAGTCATGTGTTTGAGGAGGAGGTGGAAGAACACTTTCTTTACACATTCATACAGATACAGACTTTTTACACATTGCAGCGGGTCTTTTTTTTTATTGTTTTTTAATCGGATTCAGATTCAGGAGATGCTACTGAAGCTTGCAGGGTCAACTCCTCTTGTTCCATCCTTTGTTTTTTCCCTGCTGGCTTCTTGAAAAACATGTCCAAGATGATCTGTTTCTCGCTCTTCTTCAACACCTGTCGGAAATAACGAGCAAGGGTGTCATTGTAGAGATCATTGATACTGTTGGCCTCAGTTCTGTTTGGATAATGAGTGTTGGTAAACTCTTGAACCTCTCCCCATTGGACAAGGAAGTTTTTGTCAACTTTCACTCCTTCTGATGATTTCTCGCATTGTTTCAATTGAAATCACTTTTCTGTTTTTTTAGAAGCCATGATTTGCACAACACTTGAATAAATGTAAATACCCTGCACTGAGGTGATGTACGTAATAAACAAGGGAGCAAGCCTAATCCCAACGGCAGCTCTGTACTTCAGATATACTGATAATATATTCTAATAATACTAATATATTATAAAAATAGCAGATTGTCATTGGCAACGGCAAAAGAGTGGAAACATCATTCGTACTTGTTCGTAGAAAGTCAATTGGTCGCCTCACGTAACTGCCGAACGGAAAGTCCGTTGTTCGCATCCAGTCCGTTGCTCAAGTCACGTAACGGCCAAACAGAAAGTTCGTTATTCGCAGCGTCCGTTATTTGAGGCGTACGTTATACGAGGCACCACTGTATTTATAAATGAGAAAATTTGTATTTTGTTTGTTTGTTCCCTATTCATAGGCGGTTCTATCACTTACTACGAATCTCGTTAGTAAACGTAAGTTAGATGTGTTTTAACACATCTAACTTAAATAATGTCTTACATTCCACCCCAAACTATCAATTGGACTTCTGTAAATCAATTAATTTCTCTCTCCATTTGATTTGTTGGTTTACATGTAGCGCCATGTACAGGCAAAAATTAGAACAAAATAATAAAAAATATATATATATATATATATAATTTTTATTAAAAAGGATATAATTCTTAAAAATATATATATTATATTCACTTAATTAACCCTCTATTCGTCAAGTCAAGAGAATTGCTCATTGTGTTACTGGATGGCTTAATTAGAAGGTCATAAAACAATCAAGTGGGGACGTTGCGAAGGACGTCGTTGGGGTGTCCGTTATTCGCTTGCGCCAACGATCGATCTGACATCTAGCGGTATTAGCGCAAACGACATAATGGCGACTACAATGGGTATAGTGTAAGTCTGTGGTCAGTAAGAATTAAAAAGTGTTTAACCCACAATGGTAAATAATAAGTATTGCTGTGTATTTGGATGTAAGTCTAAAGGTACATCAAACTCAGTACATATGCACACATTCCCAAAAGATAAATTACTGAGAAAAAAGTGGGAAATAAAACTAAAGTTAGGAAAGCAATCAACGAAATCTACGTACGTTTGCAGTTTGCATTTTGACAATGATGATTACTATTTGCCAGGTAATAACAACATTTCTTATAAGTATATTTTAACTGTTATCACATACGGTACTTACGTTTTTATAGGTTTACCATGTGCTCGTCATTATTTAAAACCTAATTCGTATCCAACTAAAAACATACCGATAAGGAAGTTTGATACAAGCACCTCAAAACAGATTGCCGAGCAAAGGTCCATTCGTGCCCAAAAAAGACAAGAAATACGGAATAAAGGTTTGTTTCTTAATTTTCATATTTGAACTAAAGCAGTCACCAGAAGTAATAAAAGCTTTATAATTTGTCAGATGCATTTCTTTAATAACGCTATGCCAAAACAAGATCTTTATAATGATTGAAATCAATAAATTTTTAGGTTTGGAACCGGAAAATAAGAAAACTTCCATCAAGGAAAAATCTGCATAACAACCTAATAATGACACCAATATTTTGGAACTGTCACAGCCCAGTACATCCTGGTCTAAATCATGTATTGACTGCTGTGCATGTACAGATCAACAAATGATATCACAAATAGAGGAGGATGAAGATATGACATCAGTATCACAAACAGAAAAAGATGCAGCAATGGCACTCTTAAGTTTAAGTGAAAAATCCAACCTTCAAGAGGAGAGGGATATTTTAATGGATAAAGGAATTCAAGTGAATACATTTTTAGATTCAACCTTAAAATTTATTGTGTTTGACTTAATAAAATCAGACAATGAATTGAATATTCTCACAGGTTTAAACAGTTTTAAAATGCATGATACCATCTCTACCTGTGTTAGTGAGTTGCAGTCCAACAATACTGCTTGTAAGCCTACTACATTATCTACTAAAGTCAAAATTGTTCTTGTTATGATGAAGTTTAAACTAGCTTTGTCCTTTGCTTGTGTTTCAGTTTTATTTCAAATTTCCACGACGACATGTAGAAGAATATTTTTCAATATTATTGCTTATCTGAGTCAAATATTAGGTGCTGCGATTGTGTGGCCTTCCAAAGAAGAGATAATGAAAAACTTACCTTTGTGCTTTCAAAAATACAGCAAAGTTCGTGTGATTTTGGACTGCACTGAAGTTTTGGTTGAAAAACCAAAGTGTATTAGTTGCAGAATATTAACTTACTCCCATTACTATGGTAAGCATACTGTTAAAGTATTAGTTGGAATTGCCCCATCTGGTCTTATCACCTATTTAAGTAAAGCGTATGGAGGTAGGGCATCTGACAAAGCCATATTCGAAGAATCAAATTTGTTAACTTTACTTGATCCTTATACAGATGAAGTAATGACGGATAAGGGTTTTCAAATAGAAGATGCTTCTTCTGCTAGAGCTATTGGTTTAATACGCCCACCATTTGTAAGAAAGCAAAATCAATTAAGCAAGCATGATGCACTGGAAACTGCAGAAATAGCAAAGGCCAGGGTACACGTTGAACGTGCTATTCAGAGAATGAAACTATTTGCTGTTTTAAAACAAAAATTAGATTGGACTTTACTGCCACACATTGACAAAATTCTAAAAATTATTTGTGGTGTAGTAAATTTATCTAGACCAATATTGAGTGATGATAAATTTTGAAGAGTGGTGTGAGCATTTTCATTTTGACTATATAATGAATGAAGCAGTATTAAACAGCAATTTAATACTGTTTTTTCATAATCTCATAGTTAATAAGGCTTGCTCATTTTTGTTTTTCAATTTTTGTATGATAAAGAACTCAAACATTAGTTAGGACAAAACATTTTATTTCAAAACAAAACAAAACATAACAATATGTTTTATAAAATTATTAGTACTTAACTCTATACTTATTTTGCATAAATCTGTAAGAAAATATCTTTTTTTGCAAATTATGAATAAAATACTGAATAAAAGAAAATGACTATTTTAATTTGTTGCATCATTCATTTTGTATTATATACATAAACATTATNTATGATAAAGAACTCAAACACTAGTTAGGACAAAACATTTTATTCCAAAACAAAACAAAACATAACAATATGTTTTATAAAATTATTAGTACTTAACTCTATACTTATTTTGCATAAATCTGTAAGAAAATATCTTTTTTTGCAAATTATGAATAAAATACTGAATAAAAGAAAATGACTATTTTAATTTGTTGCATCATTCATTTTGTATTATATACATAAACATTATGGTGCTAATATTGTTATAACTTAATAAAATTCAAAGTAATGTGTATTTTCTTCTAAATGTGATTTCTGATGGAAAAAGCAAGATCGTTGTATTTAAAAATTAATTCTGCATAGGTAAGGAAAAATAATTTTGGTAAAATCATTTAATAGCTTGTCTGTCAATTTATGAATAAAACTATGATCTGCTAAAACTTCAAGGGTTTTAAGGGTTTGGTCCTTGCTACTGAATATTATAAAATCACATGAATTTAAATTTAATATAGCCAAACCTAATTGTAACTGCCCATAATACTTGTGATTTTTTTAAAGCTGTAATTGCCATGCCCATCATGTACTATATACTTAAGAGATTGCACCATTTCTTCCGCAGATTTTTCTGCACCAATTTTGGGGCACTTTACTTCTAGCAGCTTGATAGGCTTTTCATTGTTGAATACAAGCCCATAAGGAGAAAATGCAAAGGGTGGTAGTAATGGTGAAATTATTAAACCAAACTGTTTGACATCACAACCATAGAGGGTTCCATACAATGTGAGTGCTGTTTTTTCCCACTTTTTACCATACTCTGTATTTTCATTTCCCTTAAATTTGCTTCTAAATATATTTGTTAAATTCCTTTCCCAGTCTGCATTTTTCCTCTTTCCATAAGTATATAGTTCATAGCACACTGATCCTGTCACTCTAATACTTCTTTCTTTCTTCCACAAATCATTATTTTGTTCCATTGTCAAGTGGCAAATGTTTTCTATCTCTCTCTTGTTTTTGTAAATATTTTCTCTGTAGTACATTGAACCCTGAATAGGCATAATATGATCACTTATATTAAGCAAATATTTATTACAGTCCATACAGTGTTCAATTACTTTTAATATTGACCAATGTGGTACAATATTATCAGCTGAACTTTGTACAGCTTTGGCTACTAAGCATTTTCTTCCAATTGAATGCTTTGCTAAAGCAGAATCAGGCAATTCTTGAAAAAATCGTTCTCTGATAGCATCTCTTTGGCTTTCATTTAATGAAAGAATTTCTGTTTCCTTTGTTTGGACATGGCACAAATTTTCAACTTTACAAGCTCCATATCTCCCATCAGACCTATCTGACTGTGAATAAAAAAAAAACTGGTAGCTTTTCCTAAATTTCCAACTTTCCCTTGTGGTTTTTGTGTTGTTGTTGCTTTTATCTTTCGTCGCTGCAAGTGGAAGAAACGAACGAGACGAGATCGTAACAAAAACTAAACTTTTATTCTCCTCGCGTACTTGGTACAGCACATGTCTTGACGACGCGGCTAACAAAGACAACTGGTTTTTGACGGTCTTGTGGGGTGAGTTCGAATTTATTCCAGGAAGTGATGACTCATACACCCGGGGGTAATTGCTTGTATTTTACAACTGTTAAGGGTACAGATGTGAAGGGCGGCGTTCGCCACACCCTGTTCTGCCAATTCAGTGAACATGTTCTTGGATTGTTTTAGCAAGATCATAGTTTATTACATGGCAGACATCTTTGATATGTAAACCTCTAGCTGTAACAGCTATGGCTACTAAGATTGACATTCTTCCTGTTCGAAAAATCTATCGGAGCTTCCTCCTGCTTATGTTCTCATGTTGTAAACGAACTTCATGTATACTTGTTGTAGAATAAT